GGGCGTGACATTGTAGCAGGAAAAACCTGCTTCCCTGCTTCTCTGAACACAAACTTAGGAGACGCAGCTGTTCTGCTCTTTTCTGTTTCTGGCTGGGGCTGTGCCAATCTCTGCCTATAGGTAAAAGCAATTAAGCTCCATCTCGCCTTGCTTCCGTCCAGTTCTCACAGGTTTTTCATAATCCACTCTCCACATGCCCCCACAATGCATTTCCCTCAGAACCTTCTAGGCCGGCCTTAGCAATCATCTCAAAAGATGGTTGCCTTCTGACATGGAGACTGACAGCTCTGCTTACATACCCCCTCTTCTGAAGGTGGTAACAAAATTTATCCTGGTTCCATGTAGAAAAGACGGATTCATTAAATACACCTCCATCTAACCGCAGTTTTAAAGATGTTGGTTTTTTAACTAGCACTATGAAATCACTTAGGTATCAAAGAATTACTTCATCAGATAAGACTTTTCTTAGGAAATTTCTTTCCCTCAAATGTGGATCCTGACCTTTTCAATATGCTGTACTTTTTAAAATGTGGACATTCAGAAAAAAATTCTGAAAGAAATTACAAAACTGTTATTCAAAATTCTCTGGTTGTAGTAATACAATTCTTAAACCAGCAGAATTAGTTAGAATGTCTTTGAATGCATTAACATCTAATTTTGTTTCAAATTGTTTAAATAAGGAAAAAGTATGACCCAAAGAGAGACCAGGAAAAATTGAGTGACTCAGTGGCACAAGAGTTTTGTTTTTTGAGACAGGACCTCTCTTTGCAGCCCAGACTGGTTTTGAAATCACTTCATAGCTCTGATTAGCCTTGAATTCGATCCTTCTGCATCTGCTTTCCAAGAACTGGGATTACAGATCTGTGCCACCACACCAGACATAAGACTGTCTTTAAAGAACAGGGTCCTGCCTTCCTGCTGTCAGTGTCTCAGCTTTGGCATCTTAGGAGCTACAGGACAGCACTGTAGTTCTGGGTTGTCACATGTTGACTTCTGATGCATCAGACTAAGAAGAGTGACTAGTTCTTGTATTGCTTCTTTAAAGAATGAGGAGCCCCCAGGAAACCACTTCACATACGGCAGGAAGCCTTTCTTATCCACCCACCCTTGGCTATAAATGGGGACATGGATGTCATCAGAAAGAGTGGACTTCAGGGACCAGGATTCCTTGAGGTTTGAGAATACATGAGTGTCCTGCAAAAATGGATGTCTGAACAAAGCAGCTTCTGAATGGAGCTGAAAAGTCTGCTGGGTGATGAACCAAAACTGGGCACATGGGCACTTCTGGTTTCACAGACTGCATGGCTCACCCTTTCCTCTCACTTCTAACATTTAAGCAGCAAAGTTTCAAATAAGTAGATAACAACTTTGTAAAGTCTGCTTTATTAATTTTTATAGGCAGAGGGAATTTCCTAAGTAACATTTCCAATGTTTTTGAGATGATCTAATCTGACTGGGTATTACTTTTGTATCCTTGTTGTGTAAGCACATTCTGTGTGTCCTTATATGTAAAGTAAAAACTGTTCATCTATATGCATAAATAGATTCTCACAATGACTGTGACTAACACACATTCATCTTACTATTAATGAAAATATTCTTACCATGTAAAGGCGAAGAATGACAAACTAAATTACAGTCTAGAATTACTTCATCAGATAAACAGTTACACAACAAATTGAGGACATAGCTACATAAAATCCTTGGGTTCAAGTTCTTAGAAAGTGGATTGCCCCCCTTTAGCATATGCACTGCTCTTCTTAATGTGACTGTTAGCAACTAGGAACCAGCATATTCAACCACTTGCATTACCTTTTTGGGTAGGTAAAGATCACAGTTGTCTGATTTAAGTACAGCACCATTACTTCATGGGTAAACTACACAGAGAGAATAGTATTTGGCCTTCAAAGCCAAGTTTAAAAAAAATCATAATTGCCACTGGCATTATAGATATGTTTCTATCAGAAAACAACATGAGTTTTTGTTCTGAAATAGAAGAATCACTTATATCCATTCATTTTCTCTGTCCAGAGCATTGTAGGCTGCCAATTTCACTGAATTATATTTTTAGGTCCAGTGAACAGACCCAGAAGAGCTACTGCTCTATGCTTGAGTGACCCTGATCTTCATGAGACAAGCCTCTTCCCTCAAATAAAAGGGAATATGGATGCTCCAAGTTTGCTAATGTCTCGCCATAGTACTGGGCAGAAATTTATATTTAAGCTGTTTGAATACTCTGGAAGCTGTCAAAATAAGAAGCAAGTAGTCAAAGAATGAATTTTTTTTGTCCCATGGTTCTGTCCCTTGGATGAAATCATAGCCTCTATTCTTTTCAATCCTATCTGTGTGTCATATGGAGCTATGACAATTTAGACAACCCTAAGGACTGGTATCTCAATTAGTTTATTAGACTTGATACCTTACCTGTATTACAGAAGAATGCTCACAAGTGTGTAAAAAGTATCCAGATACAGGATGTAACTCTGTAGCTCAGGTACAGTACCTTCCCACCTCAGATAGAGTTGTATGGGTCAGGGAATATGAATCTGCTCTTTGCTTAACAGAATGTCAGTTAAATTACCATCAAACTATTTCCTCTGCAGAAAGCAGATCTTTGATTTATGGAGTAATAACTTCCTTTTGTTCATCTAGTAAGAAAGAAAGTAGAGAACTATAAATATCACTTAGATTTCTACCTGCCTGTAGAGGAAATTTAATTGTGTGATCCCTGTGGAGGATATACAGATGGTAGTGCCTGCTTGCTCCTTGTGGAGGCCAGAGGGAGGGGCCCAGCCACCCTTCCTGGGAGGGGCTGTAGCCTATATATGCACAGCACCAGCCAATGAATCAATTAACGTCAGGTACTTGTTTAACACTGGCTGGGGCATAGGCTGGTCAGGGGCTCTGTCTTGAGGGACTTGACCATGAAGTTGTGCCCAGTACAGCAAGAAAGGCAGAAGCCATTCTCTAAAGACAGATGAGTGGTTCCCTCTGAGTAGTCTTCACTGAAGAAGTAGAGAGATGGCCGGTCAGAAGTTGTGGAATATTGGCTCAAGAAGGAGCTGTGTCTACAGATGTCCTGAGTGGAATGTAGTCTCTGGTTCTTGCAAATCTTAAATCCTTGAATTTCATAATTAATATAATTTAAATAATTAAACTATTTAGGCAATATTAACACACGCTATATGAGTTAGATGAGTGAGTCTTTCTTTCCTTTTTTTTTTTTTTTTTTTTGGAGACAGCATCTCCCTACATAGCCCAAGCTACACAGGAACTCATGATCCTCCTGGCTCAGCCTCCAGAGTGCTGGGATTACCAGCGTATACTGCAGGCCTGGTTTATGAGTGAATCTTAATTATTGTCAGCAGAAAGGGCTTGATACAATTCCCAACCAAACCCCTCTTGTCATTGTAGTGTTAACCTGGGAAGCCTTGCCTTGATTGGTCTGGAACAAGAACTGTGACAAGAAACTTGCCTTGAGTGATTTAAGAGAGCTTACACTCATACTTACAAAAGAAGACTTCCACCTGAGAAGTTAGTGAGCAATTTATTGGGGGGAGGGTAGGAATATGTCATTTAAAAAGGTCTTTGTAACTTGTAGAAGAGGAAAAACAACAATCCCAATGGGTGACATTAACTAAATCCAATGCCACCCTTGGTCAGATGAGGTGAGATGATGAGGAAACAGAAGGTACCTGGTAACACCTGGTGACAGTGACGATGTGCTACTCCCAGCAGATGTTTGCCCGATAAACTCTTGCATATGTTACAGGGACACCTGTACAAAAATGCCCAGTATAGCAGTGTCTGAAAGAATGGGATTTCATTTGTCCTTTGAATGTAAGGAATGACAGTGAATAAAAACTGGAAGACTTCTAAACGTGATTGCTACCTTGCTGCAAGCCTCCTCCCAAACCCCTGGGACATTTACTACCACCACCCCACTTTACAGAGGATCTGAATCACACAAAGCTTCCAGAATTTGCTGAGGAGGACAAGGCACAGAAGCAGAATTCACGCCTTGCCTTTACACTGTATTATTTCTGACACTTTCTTCCTAAGGTTGTATGGAATGTGGCGTGAGTCAGATCTACTGCCCAGAAGTCTGAGCACACGAGGGAGGAGTGCCCTCCACTTTTGGGATGTGCTCAGTAATTTCTGTTGAAAGATGATTCATATTTAGGTGCTGGTCCCAGAACCAGGCCTCCAGACTAGGCAGGATTGGAGTGAGTGAGACTTCCCATGTACCACTGAGCCCAACCACAGATTCCACCCTGGGTGGATTCAGGACATTCTGTGTTGGTACTGTGAGGCTCTGGATCTGGAGATAAGGCTGAGTCTCTTCCAGGGGGCCTCAGGCTGAGCCATGCCTTACAGCTCCAGAAGTCCCATGTCAAAGGGCAGGTGACTCCTCTGGACCCCTCCTAGTTATGTGGGAGCATTGAGTGTCAGGAGTCTGATAAAGGTGACTCCCTAAGAGACTCCCTAAAAGTGAGTCTCCCACATTTAAGAACCCCCATAACTACTTTAAACAGGCCTGCAAATTTGAGTCAGATTCTTTTTATTGCACTGTCAAGATAACAACTAGAATAATTCCCAGTGGACTCCCACGCCTGCTTAACAGATACTTCATTTTATTTCCTCCTTGAGGACTGTTCAGAAATCACCCTCCAGCTACATAGGAGTCAAGGCTAAGGCCACTTAGCTCATCTGACCTTCACATTAATTATTTTTATTGAAACAGGAGCCCTTTCGGTATTCCCTTTCGCCTTTCTTAGCAGCCATAAGGACCCAAGCAGCCTTCCGTATGTTCCTGTTTCAAAGTTCTCTGAGGGGTGAACCCGTCTAACTCCAAGTGTCCTCTCTAGATTTATTTAGGGCCTCAGATGTGGAGCATGGGCGTTTTCAGATGGCATTAAAATTCTTACAAAAACTGAAAGTGAAATGAGGAAGACAGATTGAGCAATTCATGGAGGGGCAAACGCCAGTGATCCTGAACGCGGTAGGGGCAGAGATGCAGAAGAGGAGAAAGAAGAAAATCAGGAGAGCCCTCCTGAGGGGCAGAGCCCATGCCTGTCACGCAGTGGATGCGGGACTTCAGCAGACACGGATAACAGGAAATGATCCGGCCCCTGTGCTCACTTATGCTAAAGGCCCCAACCTTCAAAGTGCAAGTCAGGGAATGGATGACTCCACAGAGAGGGAGCTGTCACGGCTTCCTTCTTGCCCTAAGAAAGGAGAAGAAATGAAACTGCAGTGCGTCCCCATCCTGGCGCAGAAGGAAAGCCCCTCGGTCCGATTCTCCCGAGACGAGAAGCTGCTGGCCGTGACCTTGCTGCTGGCTCTGCTGTCCAGCGGCCTCACGGTGCTGGCTTTCTCCCGGGTGGCCGCCCTGCAAGCCGACCTGGAGAGCCTGCGGGCGGAACTGCGCGACTCGCGCGCGCAGCCAGCGCGTCCCGAGTCAGGAGCCGCGGGACCCAAAGTGAGTTCGCAGCAGCTGCAGCTGGCAGGACCTGCTGTCCCCCGCACCCAGCCTCCGCCAGCTGCCTGTCCCTAACGCGGGCTTTCTCTGTTCCTAGGGGATCGTGGCTCCAGCGGCTCCTGGAGAAAGCAACTCCAGCCAGAACGCCCGGCGCAAGCGCGCCCTGGAGGGGGTAGAGGACACAGGTACGTCTGGGGCGCGGACGCCATAGGAGCCTGGGGCGCAGGTGCTCACAGGTGCAGAGCGCAGCATCCTCTAGGGATGCTGGAGTGGCGTGACCTCTCCAACCTTTCCAGGAGACCATGAACTTTGCCATCTGAGCCAGACGGGGCTTTGCAGCAAAGCCCCCCGCGCTGACAAAGGCAGTGACCGCACAGCGTGCGCTCCTATGAGCAGGGGACCCCTGCGGGCAGAAGCGTTTATAAAGCAGAAAGGAGAAAAGGGGGTGCGCGCTTCTCCCACAGTGCGCTCCGCTCCTGGTGGGAAGCCTGAGCCATCAGTGCAGAAAACAGCAACAAAGCGCTGCATTTATTGGTACTGTGGAGTGCGCTTGTCCACTTGGGTCTCAGAAAGTCAGTGTAAGACCATGGTCGTCGAGAGCCAAGTAAAGATCTGCTGGGGAACGCCAATATGGGTGTGCTTCACTTTTTGTTTCTTCTTCTTTTAAGCATACACACATGCTGCTTTTAAATCTTTCCTCTTATGCCTGCTTCTCCAGGACGTCCATGCGCCTACCAGTTTGCCTTGACCTCTGCGCTTCTGCCTGTTTGCTCACTGTATCCAATTTCACGCAGTTGGGAGAATCTATTAACAGAATCAGTTCTAGTTCTTTCACTTCAAAGGTGAAAGAAAAAAACATCTGCATTGCGCTTATTCACAGTACAATTTAACAAATCTTGCTACATTCTGCCTTTTCTACTGAAACAACATTTTTTGAGCACCTGGAATGTGCCAGGCAGGTATGGACCAGGACAGGTGTTTTCACACGTGCTATCTCAGTTTCTCACTTGGCTTTCAGAGCGACTCTGGGAGGTCCACACACAGTTATGTAAGTTACTTACAACTTACTCTCATATTTGTTATATGATTTTGACATGATTGTTCTCAGTTTTTGCTTTACCATAGAACATATACATATTTTGTGCATATCTCTTATGCTTTCAAAGAATTATATATTCAATGTAAGTTCCATATTGTGAACTTTCTGAGCCAAAGAGAATGAACGTTCTACCCATTGCCCGGTTGTTTCCAAAATTTGTTATGAATACATGAAGGACCAAACGTCCTGTACCAGTCCCCCACCTTCTTCTTGGCATGTTGTCTTTAAATTTTTATTTTGGTAGATTAGCAGTTGTACAACAGTATCTCAAATGTATCTGAGTGTGTTGTGTATTAACTGTGATAATGAGCGTCTTTCTGCATATTTTGATAACTTGCAGTTTTCTCTTCTGATAATTTTCATTCCTTTATCCCATGGCCTAATATTCAGAGTGTTAAGTACTACGTATGCTGAAAGAAGGTAAAAGAGATGTGGTTTTCAATTAACTACACAGAGCATTTTATAAACCTCTGGCATGACCCTGGTGATTTTTCTAGTATCATTGGATAACTTTTTCAGTATCCTGAGACCTTTAAAAAGTTTTTTTTTTCATGGTAGTGGAGATTTAACCCAAGGCCTCCCGCTTGCTAGTGGCCCACTTGGGCCACTCCACCAGCTCTTTTTTTTTTTTTTTTTTCTGCATGTGTGTAATGGCTTTTTTGAGATAGAGTCTTATGAACTATTTGCTGGGAGATGGCTTGGAACCGTGATCCTCCTGATCTCTGCCTCAAGTAGCTAGGATTACAGGTGTGACCACTGATGCCTTGTAATCGAGAATTTGGACCCCATAACTATTTAGAATAGAAGAATGTGAAGCTAAAGATTGTGAGGAAATAATCTTTATTTCTAACTTCTCTTTGCTCTGTTTTTAAATTTCCAATAAACTTCTTAATAGAAATATTATTTATCAAAAATTTGATGTTAATATTTTCACAGAATTTTGTTGCATTTTAAAATTTGTGCACAGGGTTTTGCATCTATATTAATGAAGTAATCCTTTCCTTTTGACTTTCTCTAATATATCAAGCTAAAAACATATTTGTTCCTGGCCTTTTAGTTTGCTGCATTTCCTGCTACTTTGACATTTTTTATGATTGGTGTTTTGTTTGATTTTAGCTCATTAATCTTCCTGGTGTTTGTTCTGGTGAATCATCTCTTACGGGCATTAGCTTCCTCTTTTCTCCTTCTTCTTTTTCCTTCCAGACTGCTACCTCAAGCAAATGCATTAAACGATTCTTCTTAACTTCTTTGTGTTGGAAACTTACTGCATTAGGCTAAGTCCCTCATGTGTGGTTGAATCTATTTGAGACTGTTTAATTCATTGAATTGTTATTCTATTTATCTGCTTTGCATAAACTATGTTGAATAATTTTGTGTTATAATGAGATTCAATATCTGATAGGATCAGGATTTCTCAATTGGCTTTAATCTTCTCTGCTACCATTCCCCTGTTTCTAGATAATGGTTTAAACCAACCTTAATTTTACCATTCTAAAGAAGACATAGACTCATTGCAACAAATTTAGAAAGGAAAGAATTATAGAGTTAAAATGAATATTTGCCTGAGTCACACTTTGCCAAAATATCCTGTGTTAATATTTTAAAATTCCCTCCTGTTTGAATAGTTTACATTCTTATGTAACAGCAACATTCAAAACTATAGATTGAGGAAAAATGAGGGTTTTTTTCCTTTCTGTTCAGTAGGGTCTATTTTTGGATTTGAAAAAAATTCTATGCACCTTAGGTCTGTGCACTATTTCCATTCTAGTTACTCTGATTTATTTTCTCCAAGACTCAACAACCTTGGAGTGTCCCTTTTATTGTCAAAGCACCCACTGACATTCCATCCACCAGCAATCCCCATCTGTGTTAGGGCCACTGACATTTCTTTCTATTGGGATCTTTGGAGGGCAGTGGCTGGAGATGGACTTGACGGAGGTGGACCTGACCACCTCCCACACTACCCCCAGTCCTCCCAAGGGCAAATTCTGTTTCTTCTTAATTGTAAAACATAGTGGTTTGGCTCAAATTTTGGTTTTCTTAATTATTTTGTGTTTCAAATTAAAGTTTTATTAAGCTTAATTTATTTCAAAAGGCCATTCTTGATTACAGTGTAATAAACAGAAATGTGGGGAAATCCAGAGTTTAAAAAATTGCTAAATAGCTTATCTTGGCCAAAATTTCACTTTTAAGCCCAAAAGTGTGTTTGGAGATAGATATTCTCAACTGGAAAAATTAACTAAAGCAATATGGCTTTGAAAAGACTCCATGGTGGAATTAGTTTACAAATGGAATCGTGTGACCTGGTTTTGAACACTTGCCAACCTATAATTTTATTTATTTAAAAAATCTAAAGATAAGAATCTTTACAGTCTTGTCAAAAAGGGGAGCTCCTTCAAATGGGGTGCCAGCAAACTAAAACAGCTTATTGATAAAAGAATAATCTTTGCATTTTCTCCCTTGTTAGTCAACAGGGAATATAAAAGCTATTAGAAATAAATGTTTTGATTACAGAAAGATCAAATTATTTTGATTATTTTATTGGTCATCTATTAGCAATATTTATTTCATTTGTCTCAGTTATAATTGCAAAATAGTGGTGAAAAATGAGCAATTAAAACAAATATAAACAAGGTGGGAAGATCACCTATATTTTGTCTTCCAAATAGTTATTTCAACATTTTGGACCATACGCTTTATTTTTCTCCATTTTTATTTAAACTTCTCCGTTTGGAATTGTTTTAGGTTGTGGATAGGCTATAAAGATGATACAGAGTTTTGGGATATACTTTCATCCACCTCCCCTAATGTTCACATCTTTCATGATCACGGCATCGCGTTACAAGGAAAACCCACATTGAGATTGAGCCACTGGCTCCAGACCTTATTTGGAGATTTCCAGATCCATCCAGAATGCCACACTGCATTGAACATTCAATAAAATTAGCATTTCGAGTACAGAGCACATAAATTAACATCTAATATTGTAACTTAGGTATTTCTCTGGAATAAAGCATTTTAACTGTGAAAAAAGTATCAGGTCAATTTTTGAGTCTCTTGAAATACATAGTCCAACCCACTTGGAAAGAAAGACATGACTGGTAGATGTCATGTCCAGTCTTGGCTTGGCATTTGTGGCTTAGCTGTGACTTACAAGGTTGTACCATGAGTGTTGAAAGCATGCAGTGTGGAACCACTAGTTGAGCAAAATTAGTCTCACTTAAGCCTCCTACCAGCAAGGCCGCACGCCTTCCTAGAACAGCTGGCTGCTGTTGGGTGATCTCTGACCACAGTCTTCTCTAAGTAGCATTTTTTTCCTCCCTTGCTTCAATAGTGAGACTTATTTTTTTCAGTGTTGCAAGAGCTGGCTTCTGTTCAATTTCCAAAAAAGTATTTAAAATTGAAGATAGTGTGACCTGACCACCAAGTCCTTGAGCTCTGTTCTTGTTAAGATTGAAGTTTTGAGAAACCCAAGAGCCAGGACACAAGCCAATCAATGCAGATAATGTGGCATGAGTGTCTCTTGCATAAATCCTTACATTGCAGTGAGGCAGAGAGACAGAGAAAATAAGCAATACTTACAATGAATAAATTATAATACTAGAAAGTGGTAATTATGTGGGAAAAGTGAAATTTAGAACAGTACGATGAGCATCAGAGTGGAGGATGAAGAAAGCAGAAATATACATTTCTGTTTCTTTGTGATTAGTGTTTTTATTTTATTTATTAATTTACTTTTTGTTGTCATATTATTGATGTACTGGGAGTACACTGTGACATTTACAAAAGTTCTTACAACATATCATAGTTGAATTTACCCCCTCCATCATTCTCCTTTATTCCCCGTCGCCCCTCCCTCACTCCTGGAATAATTTCAACGGGTCACATTTTTCCATTTCTGTTTTAAATCAGGTTGTGGGAGAAGTCTTTTCACTTCTCCCTGAAAAAAACAGTACTTTCTTTTTTAATTTAACTTTTTATTTTTCACACATGAATAGGAAATTTTAAAATAAAATGTTGAGGGATGTATTATTCTTATTAATGATCCCTTATGAATAGATGGAATTTTAGAAACTATTATTTTTA